CACACACACACACACACACACACACACACACACATGGATTACTATTCAGCCATAAAAAGAATGAAATTTTTCTATTTGCAGCAACATGGTTGGACGTGGAGGGTATTAAGTAAAATAAGTCAGACAGAGAAGGACAAATACTGTATGTGATTTACTTATATGTGAAATGTAAAAAAAAAAAGAAACAGTAAATATAACAAAAATGAAGCAGGCTCAGAGATATAGAAAACAAACCAGTGGTTACCAATGGGGATAGGGAAGGAAGAGGGGCAATATAGGGATAGGGAATTGAGTCACAAAACTATCATATACGAAATAAGCTATAAGGATCTCTCCAAGAAAAATGGAGATATCAAAGGAACATTTCATACAAAGATGGGCAAGATAAAGGACAAAAACAGTAAGGACTTAACAGAGGCAGAAGAGATTAAGAGGAGGTGGCAAGAATGCACAGAAGAACTGTACAAAAAAAGATCTTAATGAGCCAGATAACCACAAAAATGTGGTCACTCATCTACAGCCAGATATCCTAGAGTATGAAGTCAAATGGCCTTAGAAAGTATCACTCTCAATAAAGCTACTGGAGGTGATAGAATCCCAGCTAAGCTATTTCAAATCATAAAAGAGGATGCTGTTAAAGTGCTGCACTCAATATGTCAGCAAATTTGGAAACCCCAGCAGTGGCCACAGGTCTGGAAAAGGTCAGTTTTCATTCCAATCCCAAAGAAGGGCAGTACTAAAGAATGTTCAAACTACTGGACAATTGTGCTCACTTCCCATGCTAGTAAGGTTATGCTCAAAATCCTTCAAACAGTACAAGAACTGAGAACTTCCAGATGTACAAGCTGGATTTATAAAAGGTAGAAGAATCAGAGATCAAATTGCCAACATTTGTTGGATTATAGAGAAAGCAAGGGAAATCCAGAAAAACATATACTTCTGCTTCATTGACTACACTAAAGCCTTTGATTGTGTAGATCACAACCAATGTAGAAAATTTTGAAAGAGATGGAAATACCAGATCATCTTACCTGTCTCCCAAGAAACCTGTATGTGGGTCAAGAAGCAACAGCTAGAACCAGATATGGAACAACGGACTGGTTCAAAATTGGGAATGGAGTAGGACAAGACTGTATATTATCACTCTGTTTATTTAACTTATAGGCAGAGTACATCATATGAAATGCCAGGCTGGATGAGTTACAAACTGGAATCAAGATTTCTGGGAGAAATAACAACCTCAGATAGGCAGATGATACCACTCTAATGACAGAAAGTGAAGAGGAACTAAAAAGAGCCTCTTGATGAGGGGGAAAAGGAGAGTGAAAAAGTTGGCTTAAAACTCAACATTAAAAAAAACTAAGATCATGGCATCCAGTCCCATCATTTCATGGCAAATAGAAGGGGGGAAAGTGGAAGCAGTGACAGATTTTCTCTTCTTGGGCTCCAAAAACACTGTGGATGGTGACTGCAGCCATGAAATGAGAAGACACTTGCTCCTTGGAAGGAAAGCTATGACAAACCTAGACACTGTATTAAAAAGCAGAGACATTACTTTGCCAACAAAGGTCTGTATAGTCAAAGCTATGGTATTTCTAGTAGTCATGTATGGATGTGAGAATTGGACCATAAAGAAGGCTGAGTGCCGAAAAATGGATGATTTTGAACTGTGGTGTTGGAGAAGATTCTTGAGAGTTCCCTGAATAGCCAGGAAATCAAACCAGTCAATCCTAAAGGAAATCAAGCCTGAATACTCATTGGAAGGACTGATGCTGAAGTAAGGTGAAGCTCCAATACTTTAGCCACTTGATGCAAAAAGCCCACTCATTGGAAAAGAGCCTGATGCTGGGAAATATTGAAGGCAAAAGAATAGGGCAGCAGAGGATGAGATGGCTGGATAGCATCACCAATTCAATGGACATGAACTTGGGCAAACTCTGGGAGATAGTGAGGGACAGGGAGGCCTGGCGTGCTGAAGTCCATGGGGTCAAAAAGAATCGGATACAACTTAGCAACTAAACAACACAACAAGCTATAAGGATATATTGTACAATATAGTCAATATTTTATAATAATTATAAATGGAGTATCACCTTTAAAAATGGTGAATCACTATATTATACATCTGTATAATGTAATATTGTAGATCAACTATACTTCAATTTTAAAAATCCATATAATCCACCATATTAACAAGCTAATAAATCCACACACACAAAAAGAAAACTATTAAAGCTAACAAGTGAGCTCAAGGTTGTAGGATACGAGATCAATATACAAAATTCAATTGTATTTCCATACACTAGCAAGGAACAATCTGAAAATGAATACAACGGTGTCAAAAAGAATAAAATAGTCCAAAATAAATTTATCAAAAGAAGTACAAGACTTGCACACTGAAAACCACAAAACATCTTTGAGAGAAATTAGTCTTAAATAAATGTAAAGACATCCCATGTTCATTGGTTGGTATACTTAATATTGCTAAGATGGCAATTCCCCTCAAAATGACCAATGCAATCCCTATCGAAATCTGTGTAGAAAAGAGTTAATATAACAGGCCTGAGAATGTTATCATTTTTTTTTAAAATCCTGTTGGTAAGTTTGGTGCTTGACTAGGATCTGGGAAGTTGGATTTGGGGAGGGTTCCTACCACCTTAATTGATCAGAATAGCTCACTATACTTTCCCTGTTTGTGCAAACAACATGGTTTCTGATGAACACCATCTTTCCTCCTGGGACTCTGGAGTTTTGGTATGTGCTAGGCAGAGGGTGCCTGCATGACCAGCCCCCAATAAAAATCCTTGATACCAAGTCTCTAATGAGCTTCCTTCCTTCATGAACAACATTTCACATGTGTTGTCACAACTCTTTACTGGAAAAAAGTTATGCTAAGTGAAGGAAGTCAGTTACAAAAGACCACGTACTGTATGAGTCCACATATTAAATGTTCAAAACAGGCAAATCTATAGAGACAGAAATTAGAATGGTGGCTGTCTAAAGCTAAGGAGGTACAGGGTTGGGGGAACTGAGGTGTGATAGCTAAAGGGTACAGGGTTTCTTTTTTGGTGATGAAAATGTTCTAAAATTTGTTATGGTGATATTTGCACAACTCAGTGAGTATCCTAAAAATCAGTGAATTGTACACTTACATGAAGTATGTGGTATCTAAATTACATTTCAATAAAGCTGTTATAAACATAACAGTGGCTAATAAAATATATTGGTTCTTTTTAAAAATATTTTATTGAAGAGTGGAAGGAAACACTCAGTGGAACTAGTTAGGGAGGTACTGAAATAAGCCAGGCATTTTGGACCAACATAATCAGTATTTTTGGCCATGGCCAGGCACTTCTGTCTGGTTCTGGGCATAGCAATTCTTGAACAACCATTACCAATGTTTGTCTTCCTTTCCTTATTGAAAAAGAATTAACATATAACATTATATTAGTTTCAGGTGTACACACTAATGTTCAATTATGTAAATATCCTTAAGCACTCATTAATATAGACCAGCCTAGTGCTATCTCTTGCAGTGTAAATGAAAATGAATAAAACACAGTCATTCTCCTGAAGCAGTTCTGTATTTGGAAAGATAAGGCTCCTAATGAAATAACTACAACACAAGGCAGAGTGTGATAAGCCCCAAAGCAAGCTGAATATAAAACTAAAAAAAGCTTCAGAGGACACATGCTGAGTGATTATTTTAACACAATTACTACCGTCAAAATCACTCTGACATCACCAAGAGTGATTACTGAATGGCTAAGTACGTGAGGCCCTGTTAGGTTCTCTACGGAGTTGGGACTATCACTGTTTCCTTGAACCTATACACATCTTTACGATGGGGCCATTAAGGAAACGTATAAATAAATACAACATATACAAACAGTTTTTAGGACAGGGAGTGAGTCTAGCAGGAAGGGACTCACCAATTTGGGAGACTCGCCAATGAGGGAGATGTGGGTTCGATCCCGGGGTTGGGAAGATCCCCTAGAGAAGGAAATGACTACCCACTCCAGTATTCTGGCCTGGAGAATTTCATGGACTACAGTCCATGGGGTTAAAGAGTCAGACAAGACTGAGCGACTTTCACTAGGAGGGCTTCCCTGATAGCTCAGCTGGTAAAGAATCCACCCGCAATGAGGGAGACCTGGGTTCCATCCCTGGGTTGGGAAGATCCCCTGGACAAGGAAAACGCTATCCACTCCAGTATTCTGACCTGGAGAATTCCAAGGACTATATAGTCCCTGGGGTCGCAAAGAGTCGCAAAGACAAGACTGAACGACTTTCACTTCACTTGGCAAAACAGGCGTGCGTACAAACACGTTTTCCAAGCAGCTGAGACCCCCTAGTGGTCATATGAACTCATTACCCTCTTTGTCATCTTGACTCGAAAAAGAGGCAAAAGAAGGTCTAAGCCTGATAGCCCCGCGGGGCCACACTACACGCACAAAGCAGAATACTAGGGTAGTCTTCATCCTATTTTAATGATCCTTAAGTGTGCGTGTTGGAGAAGGAGGGAACCCCCCTACAGGGTCTGTGAGGGAACCTGAGAGGCTTCGTGCTCCAAGATCCCCTTCCTCTCCTCCAAGGTCTTTGTTTAAAACATTCACTCGCTGATAATGACAATATCTGGAGGGAAGGATAAAAACTCCGTCACCAGTTAATACTATATTTTAAGTATTTTTTGTCAGATGTCCGAGAGAAGTTTGTGGGTTTGACAGAGAAAACAAATCCGATTAACAGCCGAATTCCCTCAGCCACATCTCCAGCTCTCACACAGGATATAATCATGTATTTATATGTTTATATATATATATATATGTACATATATATATATGGCAAAAGGCTCTTAATACCTAGAAAAATATGTTTACCTTTAACATGTCACAGGGGAGTGGAATAAATGCTTTACACTGAATAGGAACTCCCCATCAATCAGAAACGAAAACAGAAAACAAAACCCAGAAAAAGGGCAGATAGTGGGGGATACTAACCGCTTCGAAATAATCACCTCGGAACAACCGCCTCAGCAGAACCTCTTCAGAAAAAACCGCCTCAGGAAAAGCGACATCCGAGGTCTTCTGACAGACCCCACCATTCTCACCAGCAGGGGGAGCAGTATTTGGTTCAGTCAAACCTGAAACCACAAGATGGGGCCAAAAGATCAGAATAGGTACCCTTCATACTTTTTTTCTCAAGGAACTTCTGCGTCTGGAACCTGAGAAGAATGAAAAGCATACGAATCTCTGTGCACACACAGACACCCACGTCCGAGATGATGGTAGTGACCAGTGTGAGATCACCACCAAAATGGCCGTTTCTTTCTCCTCAGGTCCAAGATGCAGAAGAGAAATTCCCTGAGAAAAAGTATGAAGGGTACCTACTTCAGAAGGTTGTGTGAGAATTAAATGAGATAATGCATGCAAAACACAGTACAGGGCAATTTTCAGGCCTCATTCCAGACCTGCAGAATTAGAAACTCTGGGATGGGGCCCAACTATCTGTTTGTTTGTTCGTTTAACTTTACTGATGTGTGTGTGTGTGTGTGTACACACGCATGCGCGCGCAGTCACTTTAGTCATGTCCGACCCTCTGCTACCCAGTGAACCATAGCCCGCCGGGGTTCTCTGTCCATGTGGTTCTCGAGGCGAGGACACTGGAGTGGATTGCCTGTACCCTCCTCCAGGGGATCTTCCCAATCCAGGGATCCAACCAGTGTCTCTTAAGTCTCCTACATTAGCAGGCGGGTTCTTTACCACTAGCACCACCTGGGAAACCCTTACTGATGTTTACTGGTTTATAACTCAGGAATAGCCAAAAGAAGGGATATAAAAGGCAAGATATGGGGTGGGGGTAGGTGTATACAGAGCCTTCATGCCCTTTTCAGATACATCACCCTCTTGACCCTGGGAGCTCCCCAAATGTCTATTTTAACAAGCTCTCCAGGTGATTCTGAGGCACACTCAAGAGTAAGAATTATTACTCTAAGAAGAAGGCTGCCCCTTTCGATAACTGTCCAAGATTTTTGTCATTATTACAGATTTCATGACTATATGGCTTCTGGCTTGTTTCCTGCCTGAAATTCAAAGCCATCATTTGTTTCTTGAGCCCAACTGTGTGCCCAATATTGTGACAGAAACAGAAAGAGACAGAGAAACTGCCCTCCAGGCTTTCAATGTAGGTGATCCAGGAATAGGGAAAGTTAATTAACTCTACAAGGCCAGATCTAGTCAATGTCAGATGAATTATACAGACAATAAACAAATGGTCTAGGAAATCACAGGAGGGAAATTTCACAATTATAAGGGGGAGGGTCTGACTAGAAATGGTCACTGCCAAGCCAAGCTCACCCCTCAAAATAGCTGTAAGTCATTTTATACAAGGCAATAGAACAGATCTTAGCTGCCTAATTAAGCCCCTGCCTAAAAGAAAATCACAAGATATCTAAGAGTCTGCTTTCCTTTAACAGCTGCCCCCTGAAATTAAAAAAAAAAAAGAGAGAAAATGTTTATAGCTTTTAAAGTCTTTTATTTTCTCCCTCCACTGCTTCAATCACTCATAGGAAAGGACAGACAGATATGCACAGTACAGTCATAAATGCTTGACAGAAGTAATTATGCAGCACCATTGCTAAGATGTTAAAATAACTATCTAATTTTTCATTGTAGTATGTTTGCATGTAACTGCTCTAAATGACATTGTGTATTCTCATGGTTGGAAAACAATTCAGGAGAAAAAGAAGTGAATTTTCCATTTGTATTGGTCCACAGTAAACAATGTCTGATAATCATTAGCATCACGGCCCATTTTCCAAATGGTCACAGTGTCATCACATAAGCTAAATTAAGTAGGCTAAATCTAAGTCTGGAAGATCCTTAGTGGAACAGGCAGACAGTAATTTCATAAAGGCTGATCGTTCAGCTTATTTAAATTTCATTTTGCCATTATTCATAATAATTACATTACAGGCACAGGTCCCATTTTTCTTAATAGCTCTTTCAAACCAAATGCAAACTGAAAGCATATTTAAAGTGTTGACTTGTATAATTATTCACAAGTTTATGTGGAAGAGATGTTTGGGTAGAATAAACAAGGTTAGAAAACAGATGATGATGATTGGGGGAGAGAATGATAACCAAATGTTGTGTGCTTAACATCTCTATGTTTGATTCTTAAAGGCTAACCTAAGTGTATACTACTTCAAACATACTAGCACACTAACACAGCATATTCCTTCTTTTGACTCTTTGAGTATCCCTTCCCCCCCATCTATCCCCATCTCTAGTCAGTACAGGCCAGTCTGAGAGCTTTAGCAACTTGAGAGAAGCTCTTGTTGGATATACTGTAACCTATGAC